GCAAAAATTGAGATATCTCAATTTTTGCTCGAGTTATCGTGTACACGGACAGACGGACAGACGGACAGACGGACGGACAGACAGACATGGCTTAATCGATTTATTTTTTCATCCTGATCATTTATGTATACATTTGTCTATATCTATCTCGATTCGTTTTGGCTGTTACAAACAACCGTTATGTGAACAAAATTAATATACCCTTGTGCACAAGTGCGCTCGGGTATAAAAAGCTAAATCTAGCCGGAAAATAGGTAAGATGGCAACACTGGTTAGAATGCCGACCTCTGCTTTAAACTATGCTCAGAACCCGATGAGAGTGCAATATGAGAGATGAATTAATCCTCTAATTCAGTGGTTCCCAACTTTTTCCAACTGGCGACACTTATACATATCGTCACCCTTATGCCAGAAACTTGAATGTGCAAAGATCAGAACTTTAGGAAATCAAGTTTAAATTTTTTTTACGAAACTTAACTCTACTTTTATGCAATTGAAATTGTAAAATATGTGGTTTCCGTGTACGCATGGTGTTCTGGGTTTTGGTATAACATAGAACATCCAAAGGTTAATCAAGTCAACACAATAACTCAAAACTGACGATATGTAGTAATACCTCCACGGATGGATAAAACTATTTTACCGGGAAACAAAACCTTGGGTGCTTGATATCAATTGTTTTGAACTTTTCATTTTCAGTTTAGTAATATTGAATATTGTCAATAACAGGACTGTAAAAACTTTTGAAATGTCAGAGCAATATTAAAGAATCCTTGTCCAATAATAGTTAAAGAAGAATAACTTACAGTATTATTTAGTTTAGTTTTTCAAATATGAAAGATCTGTTGGCAGACATAAAGTCTTACATGTAAAAATTTTACTTGCAATTAAAAAAGTTAACTATCAAAATTTCAATCGCAAAAAAAAACTTTGGTAATGTTATGCACACATATTTCTATTAAAATTTGTTGAACTGATGAGCCCATGATACAAACGGGAAGGTAGTTTCAATAAACAACTTTTGACGGATAATAAAATTTTTTGAAGTTTCATAAATTGTGAGCATTCTCAACGGCCTTGCCATTTTGATAATAT